CATACAGTGGAGTTGCACACGGATTCTTGCTTTGCAAATTGAAAATCTCTCTTTCTAAAATTACAGATCTTCCCTTTTGTTCTGTTCCGTGTCTTAAATTACAGTAGGCCTTGTTTAGTTATTTCCTCTGAAATGGTATGAGGAATTCTTTTAATTTTTTCTTTTTAATTTTCTTTTTAATTTTTCTGGAAATAAAGTGCTGTTGTCTTTCTCATTTCACACTTGAGTTTGGGACTGAAAATGAGGGAATGCAGGCTGAAAGCTGGGGTGTCTGTGCCAGACAGCTTGATCCTGCCTTTGTCTGCATTATCATGTATTACCTTTTTAATTTTCCATTCCAGCATGAATTTTTAATGTTCTGTAACACCTTTTTTTCTTCTTGAATACTAATAATATAACACATTTATTTTAATCCAAAGATGTCTTTGTAATTCTGTTTTTTGAGACATGTTGATGGATTTTCAATCTCAAAAATTATCAATTTAGGTGCCCCATAGTTATCAAGGAGAGTCTGTTTGATCTTGGCTGTCTTCCTCCAGCTGTAAGTGAAATACTGAAGTAACTTTCATGAAATAGTGATGACAAAATTGTTTACGTGTTGCAATGATTTGATTTCATGTCCTCCTTCCAATAAGCACCCCCTCTGGAATAGGGGCCCATCTCTCCCCTGTTTTAAGTCAGAAAGGTTGAAAGGTGATACTGTTTTGCTAACACTTCACCTGTAATTTCATGCTTGCATGATTGATAATAATTATTACATGTATTATTATTATTTTTAAGCTTGTCATTATTTTTATACTGGCCTTTGTCAAGCAAAGGGTCAAATGTGGACTTCAAAACTGCAATGGTTATCCTGGTTTGCTGATGTGAGTACAGAATTGATTAATAGAGCAAAAAGTTCAAGGCTTATACTGAAGGTCAGCAACATATAGTCTGATCATTGTGTACTTTTAAGTAGTTGTACCCAAGTCTAAGTGACACCCAGCTACATGTACTTTTTTAAAAAAAAGTTGCCACTTGTAATACAAGGCACGGGGATGTGCTGCTGGTTTGGGTGGCATTTTCATGACTCTCTTAGCTATAATGGAGTTACATTTTCAGTAGAGTTACAAGAGTGGGGACTAACACATTTTCATGATTCAGAAAATTATCATACATCAAAGTAAGGATTTACAAACAGGAAGGTTCAAATTAGATTGAAATGTACCAGAATGTTAATGCACTGAAGATGAGAAGTAAAGTGTTCTAAATTCACGTAGACAAATGTGTTGTTTCATTTTAGGATCATGACCTACTTAAAAGATGATAGTAGCTAGATAGATGCATCTATAAACAGAAATTGACTAAATTGACCACAAAAGTTACATCTCTGGTAAAGTGACTCACTTAGCAGATGGGGTGTATAATTGGCCACAGGGTAGACTATAATGGGGCAGGTTTTCTGAGAGGCCAGCAGTACATACACAGCAAAAATTGACCCAAAAACTCCCCCACCCCTGATCTATCAGAAAATTGTGCCATTTCAGTCAGAATATAAACACAGTGCAATAATATGAGGCATTCTGTTATTGAATGGGTTTAATGGGAGTGTACTTTTAAGTGAGCTATTAATGAGTGCCACTGTTTAACTAATGTTCATGTGGTTTCCTTTCAGACCATTTGATTTTTTAAGTGGTTTTGGCAACAGATTCACCATTGCTGTTATGTTTGGAGCCACTTCCAGCACATGCCTGAATATGTTTTTACAACCAAGAAATGGAATTTTTCAGATGCCTGACCCAGCTGGATGGGTGCAGGGTAAGTGGTCATACCATAGCAACCTGATTTTGAATAAATTGAGTGTTTGTTTGTTTTGTTTTGCTTTTTTTCTCTCACTGTTAAAATCATTTTAAAGACTATAGTAAGTATAGGTTAACGCAGTTGCCATGGGCCAGTATTAGTTTATGAACAAATTTTAATAATTAAGCTTACAGAACGTAGCCTCATAACTATACAAAATAGTAGTAGTAACCCATCAAGCCAAAAAAATTTGGATGTACAACCATATGACCATACAAGGTGCTAATTTTAACATGCGTGGTCAACTGTACTGCAGGCATGCCAATGCCACAGCTTTGTTCAGTAGTCCAGTGGTCAGTGCACTGGGCTCCGAGTCAGACAACCCAGGTTCTAGTCCTGGCCGGGGCAAGGTGTTGTGCCCTTGAGACGTGCGGGAAAAAAAAATGTGAGCTCTGCTTTTAGGCTTGGCTAAATCTATATATTTTGGTTATATGGAATTCAACATACAGTTTAAACGACTAGGAGCAAATACATGTATGGTCAGTAATGAGGCATTTGGTTTGTGTCTCAGCCAGTATTTGTTGTGTTCTGCAGAGTTTGCAACAGTACTGCTGTGGATGTTAGGACCTTGGGGCCATCCTCATCCAGCAGTATACCTTATCAGTGCATGCATTGTTCCACCATGTGCCCGTGTTGTGTTTGCTGTTCTATAGCATGGGATTCTTGTCCTTGAGGATGGTGTTTCTTGGTGTTTCCTCCCCTCAAACCTAACTGCTGGGTTTCTTTTGGCACTTGGGTAGGCCTGCAGTTGGGTGTTCTAGCTCCTTGGAGTGTGACTGTAGTTGCAGCTCCTGGGCCTCCAGTAGCCTCCATTTGTGATTTTGTGTGAACTTGATATTAAGTTATTTATTTGGAATATTTAGACAGGCTGGCTCAGTTTGGCTTTTAAAAGCAGGTTTAAAAGTGGGCCTCTATAAATGATAACAATGACCACACTGGGAGCCACATTCGTTACTCTTTGTTGAAGTCTGTGAGTTGTTTTACTAATTAACTCTCAAGATCTGATTATTAATTAATTCTCCCTCTAGCTGCTGTACATTTGCATATTCATCAGTTATGAGAACTTTTCTGTTAGATCAAGAAAACATTCTCTACCTGATTAGTTTGAGTATTCTCATTGCCTGTTTGCTGGATAATCTAAGGGTATTATAGGGAGAAGTTACCTTTTAATCATTTCTGGGAGTTAAAGGGTTAATGTCCCCTGCTTATAACCAGCACAGAGAAGATGAAGGAGAGTATGGGGCCTATGGTTTATCATCCTTAGCCAAGAAGACTAGAACATCTAACCATTTGCAGATGTTGTATCAAAGGCAGCACATCCTCCTCAGTTATTTTAAGACCCTGAGTGTTGTTGTGGTCTGGGACTTGAACCCTCAACTACCAACACAGCCATAACACCTTCATGATGTAAAAAGAAATGACAAGGATGCATCCAAACCACTTGCTAGATAAATGAATAAAGGGGTAAGTTTCTAAAGAAACTGTGGTGCTGCGTCGGTGGGAGAGTATAGCAGGTAATTTAGTGTTAACAACTGGGTTGAAAACGTAAATTAGCCACCGTAAAGGGTAAAAAAGCTGACGTTTCGAGCGTTAGCCCTTCTTCAGAGCCATTAGAGGAAATGTGGGTTGTGTGTGGATTTATAGGCAGTTCGGAGGGCCGCAAAACTCCAGAACAAAAATTATCTTTCAAATAAGCACTCTAAAGCCGCGCAGTATCAACGAACGATTTTCAATTAACTAATTTATTCTTGTTTTCTTGTCACCATATTCCCACCAATAGCATAGCTCCATTTTCTGCATATAAATATATACACACACAACTCACAATTCCTCCAGTTGCTCTGATGAAAGGCTATTGCACTTGAAATGTCAGCTTTTAAACTCTATACAGTGGCCAATTTACATTATCAACTCAGTCATTAATACTAAATTACCCTGTTATACTCTCCCACTGAGCAGCACCACAGTTTCTTTAGAAACTTACCCCTTTACCTGAACAGCAGTCCAGCACTCAACATGAGCAAGCAGAAAAATATTTCCTCTGTTTTAATTAGTTTTTCAGAATATTGTCACTGTTCTTGTGTACGGGATCCTGTTCTACCCATTTTTTGCCTGTCTGACAACTGACAACAGACTGGTTGGGTCCTTGCTGGGTTTTCTTTATGTTACAATCAGGTGAGCTAGCTATTACTTTGTTTATGAATACCAATTTAATCAGACTGTGAGTTTGATTTTTAATAAGCAAATACAGTTCTCAGAACTCTACAGTTGTCAATACTTAATTCAAATATTACTCTAATGTGGAATTTTACTCTTGGCTTTGAAATAAGTGATGTTTGTGTTAATTTTGGACCATGTTTTGTACACATGTACTAGTAAATAGGGAACACAGTACAGCATGGCTTACAAGTGAAACAATAGACTAATTTGGTTCTCTCAGCTTAATTAACCCTATCAGCCCAAAGGGTAGTCAGCATGTAAGTTCTCCTTCCAGTAATATTGCTGACTCATTCATTAAGAACATGAGAATAAAAAAAAGATTCCCAACTCAAGACGCTCTGATTACAACATGAATTCTTCTTATCAGTACCAAAGGAAATTTATAGTGAAGAGTCTAGAGAATATGGATATTGATGTTAACCCTTTAACTCCCGTGAGTGACCAAGACAGAATTTCTCCTCACAATATCAATACAATATCAAGCAGACAACTGATGAGCATAACTGCACTTATGCGGAATCTGTAGCATGAATTAACAACTCCACGCCTTTACAAACATGATCTTTAATACGACTGACGTTGGTTGAAACTAAAGAAAATAACAAACTAATTGACAAGGAAAGCAAACCAGCGTATTCTAATTAATTTCTTAGATTCTTCTTCAAACTGGGAATAGAGTTTCAGTGTATGAAGTACTTGAAGGTAAGGATATGAAGGAATCAAGTGAAATTGTACGTTTTTAATACTCGGCTTTTTTGTTTTTGTTTTGATATTTCTCAAAGTGATATTTAACAAATCAAACACAATTCTCCTTGGTCTGCAGCCTTATTGGTCATAGAAATGATGCCAACATATTCAAAACTAAAGTGAATCCACAAGGGGTGGTCAAGTGGTTTCACCACAAGTAGTATTTCTTCTAGAGTATAAAGGGGGTGGAGGGGGAGTTTGCATAGAGTATAAACAAGGGACTGTAGAAAATTGATTGCCAATAGCAGCCAATGAGTGTATATGTGTGTGTGTGGGGGGGTGTGATGGGATGGGGGGAGGGGGGGTCATAAGGATATTAAAGAGTCTCATGGGGGTGATCAATTCAATTTATTATATTAAAGAACCAAAATCCTCCTACCCCTCCCCCCCACCCCCCCTCCAGGTGATGAATAATGACCAGCCCCCATTTAGCTATTTATTCATATATATTTTTTATTCTTTTATTCTATTTATTTATTTATTCATTTTTTAATTACTTTTTTTTCACTAAGGGAGAGTACCAGAAGGAATTATTTTACCTGACATATTTGGGGTCAGTTCCAATCACCCTTTGCCTTGCATTCATTTGGATGAGGTTCGGTATCCTGCTGTATCGTGAAGTGAGAAAGAAGTGGTTCCCATCTGAGAGAAGGGTAAGTCACTTGTGAGGAACACGGCGCACAGCAGTTTAACATCGGGCATGCGCGAGGTGATCAATTCTGGCTAGCCGTGCGCCAATTTCCGCCTTAAAGGATAACATAAGAAACAACCGCTCTTTCGCAAAATAGGCGAAATAAAATTGCAACGCTCCTAGATGTCTGCAAAAGGAAGCAAGGTACCTAACGATAATGTATATCGCTGAGTTGGAACGATATATCGCCCAAGGCAAAACTTTTTTGAATGGTTCAATACTATTTCGCAATTGTCTTAACAACAGCTTCTACCTCTCAGAGCCATATGACAAGTCCAAGTAAAAAACAACCAAACTTCCTGAAACGCGGGAAAACGCGGGTGACAAAGTCCTGATTGGTTTTTAGCTTTGAATCTGATTGGTTAAGAGAGGGGTGCGAGTTTTTCTGGACCAATCACAGAGCGAAGTAAAGCATAAACGAAGCGATAATTGTTACTTTCGACATTTAAAAAACAAGCGTTTGTATGGCACGATATTTCGTCGATGAGTCGCGATTTTCGCGGTAATCGTCTCACAGTTTTGTACGCTGGCTATAAAAAGCTGTCCAAGGATGGAGACTGGGGAGGAGTTACCGCTTGCTCCCTCTCTGTACTTCATAAATTGTCTGGAACCATCCCCAGATAGGGGTAACTGTTGTTAGTGTTTGTTTGGAAGCTTTTACTGCTGACAAAATAACATTAACTTTTCTTCTTTTCTTTTCCAGGGTGGCGAGGAAATCCGCGATACACGTTTGGCCAGAGAAACGGAGATCGCTCACATGAGGGAACTCCTGTATCCAGGATCAATTTCGTAAGCGGTTAAAATTGATAATCTATCAGGGTTGGATACCAAACTCTGACAATATCCTACATATGAATTTTATTCAGATAAATTGTTGTAAAATGGGTTTTTCCCACAGTAAGATTATTCGCATGAGATCTCTATCGCCTGACAGCTTATGAGGGAAAAGCCTGAATCGAAAATCAAGCACAGACTTCTCAGGAAAATAACAGTATTCTCTCAGCAGAAATCAACCGGGCATTAAAAACTTAACCGCAAGACATGGCCCTTTATTTTATAATCTGTACATAGGCTATTCACGTTACGCACTGTATATCACTAATTAGTATTGAATATCAATCTCGGATTGAGCTTTTTAAAATTGAAACTATGAAATGAGAGTTGACCAAATATGTCGCTGTTGACGAGTTGACTAATAGTGTTGGCGAGCTGACATGTCGGAGAAGTGACCGGGTACAGAATGCATCTATCATCGTTGTGATAGAGAGTTAGTTTTTTTAAGGGATTAGCCTGACACTATACGGTTGTAAACAAAGAGGACAAAAACACCAGCCTGTCTTGTTGCTAAGTTTTCAACTAGTTGTTGGTTTATTCTAAACCAATAAGATTTGTCGCTTGTGATTTTCTCTGCGTTGATAGATTCAGACATCGCACTCATAACTGCTACGCGTTGTGTAATAACTAAGATGGTGACCGGTCAAGTCGCCCAAAAGTCATCTCGCCCGGAGTCATGTCACCCGGAACCAGAGTCATGTTGCCTGAAATTCATAGTCATGTCGCCCGAAATTTTATCGAGTGTTTAATCTTGAAGAAAAGTAACAATGGCAAGGAATAAACTCGTAAAATGCTGACTCGTAAAATGTTTTCGTCCGCTAACCTGTGCAAATATGAAGTTAAATAAAGGCTCAAATATCGCTGTTCTTTTCAGCGTTAATCGTTGATATGAACTAAACTGCTCATTCAACAGTGCAGATTGAAGAAAAGTAACAATCGCCTAAAGTCATGTCGCCCGGAACCAGAGTCATGTTGCCCGAAATTCATAGTCATGTCGCCCTAAATTTTATCCAGTGTTTAATCTTGAAGAAGAGTAACAATGGTAAGGAATAAACTCGTAAAATGTTTTCGTCCGCTAACCTATGGGAATATGAAGTAAAACAAAGACTCAAATATCGCTGTTCATTTCAGCGTTGTTCGTTGCTACGAACTAAACTGCTCATTCTACGGTACAAATTCTAGTAATTATAAGCGGAACTTTCAGTTATCAGAATTTTCCACACATATCAGAAAAATACATCATTTCTCTTAGTTTTATTTATCGTATAAAAAACAACCTGGAACTTTTACAGCGGTTTTTTTGTTTATTGCTAACCACACGAACAAAGCTTGTTAGCATCATTTCCCTTAGGATCAGACGCGGCATAAATTATCGCGACTTGTTCAGTTGTTCCTTGTTTCCTCGGCCGGTCGCATGTAAATTTTGTTCCGGCTAACTATATATAAAGAGGTTAAATTAATAACAGCCACCTTATTCCGAGATAATCAGCAAGCTGAAACACGAGATCGTTACCCGTACGCAAAAAAATTATATAGTGAGCCTTCATCCTTGTATCGAGTGCGGAAATGAAGTTCGACCACGCCAGCAAGCCCTTCAGTGCGACATTGCGGCTTTTGGCAGCATCGTATCTGCGGGACTGGTATCGACCAAGCCACCTACCGTTTGGCAACAATCAGAGGAAGAATAGATTGGTTGTGCGTTGCATGTTCTCTTGCGGCATCGAACCCAAGTGACCAGGTCCCCGCTGCTGAGAGCACAAGAACCGACTTCGCCCAAGGTACGGAAATTTTAAGACCACTGTTTGTCCCTGAAATAATTTTATTCTTAACCAAGAACTTAACCTTTCTAGCCCAAGTTTTATCTTGAACGTTTTTTTCCTTAGATGAGTTTGCGATAAAAATGCGGTTTTATTTTTGTTTTGCAGATCTTTCTCCAGAGTATCCGCCTTTCTACCTACTGATTCAGCTGCTCCACCGAGAGTCCTCTGCGTGCACCGTCCAAGTTCGACTCGTCATCGCCAGAAAACTTTTGCTCGCGTTTAGGAAAATAATGATATAATTATTAATATTATTACTATTATTATTATAGTTTAAAAGGAATAGTTTATTTTATCACGATAAAAAAAATCAGATAAATAATAAGTTTTTTTTTTTTTTTTTTTTTTTATTTTTTTTTTTTTTTTATTTTTTTTTTTTTTATGACGAACTTACCTTAAGTTGACATTTGAATTTGTTTTCAAGGGGTGGGTGTCACTTGGTCAACCCACACGTCCTCGCGTGTAATTAGGTTTAAATGCAAGCAATAAATATGTTTGTATTAATGCGTGTCTGAATTTACCGCAACATCACAATCTTGCTTGGTAACCAGGTGATGATTCTTGAGCACGTGCTGTATTCAAGACGGTGGCGTTTTCCAATGTTCCAATCGTGATGATGTGAACCTTCGTTCGAAACAGAATGCTTCCACAGACAAAACAACAACAGTTAGAACCATACTGTAGCTGGTATTACTATTTTTTTTATTTTCGTATTCTGTTTTAGGATTACTATCTCCGTGATATCAAACAACAGCGAAATAAACAACCTGAGTTTCACGAGTCTGCATTCTACGAGTTTCTTCCTCGCGATTTACCTAAAATGTTACTTTTCTTCAAGTTTAAACACTCGATAAAATTTCGGGTGACATGACTATGAATTTCGGGCAACCTGACTCTGGTTTCGGGCGACATGACATCGGGCGTGATGACTTTCGGGCGACTTGACCTTAAACCACCTAGATACTACACCCTGCGTGGTTAAAACCCTACCGTTTATTGTGCTGGTTAAGCCATCTGCTTTGTTCTAAGTTATACTACCAATAGACCCCAATTTTTATTGGTTTACCAGCGTGAAAACCCACTTGGGATGTTAAAAGAACGCGGGAAAAATTTGTTAATAAAGAGCCTGGGGCGAGTGATTTACAAACTTTTGTCGTGTTCTCCCAACAACTCAAGTAGGTTACTATGCCGGTACACCGATAGAAAGTTCGGTCTGTTGCTCAAATAGAAATCTTGCACTCTTATTGTTAATTAGTGAAGGATTAGCAAAGCCAATCAGACTGCAGAACTTTTGACTAAACGCTTTTAGATTTATACTTGAATCTTTCAATTCACTCATTACTCTTTGTGATTGGTCTGGAAAGCGTTCCAATCAGTCTTGATTCCTTTGGCCTACGTGTAAGGCTGTCATGTTCGGTTGAAAAGAACGTGTACGTAAAGAAAAGAGCTGCCATTGATCACCAACGATAACATAAACGTGGGATTGATGCCTACATGAGTTATGAATAAATAAAGTGACATATTTCTTTCGTTTTTGCAGAAGCTTATTCAGATGATAATGATTTTCTAATTACTCGGGATCGGTGGTATAATTTCTTTTTGTGTTGCTTCAAACAGGGGGAATATGGTTGGATTAAACTGGTTTTCAACGCTGCTTCGTTGTTTCTACAAACCAAGGAAAGGTAAAGATGTTTTGTTCGCGCCATGTCTGAGCCACGAACAGGAACCATTTGAATAAGGAGATGATTTAAATGACACCCAGTCGTTTGTTGTTAAAATTTGTTTTTTAACTTCATCTGAATTTCATTTTTAGATTTCAAATTTTCGACGCAATTCATTTCAACAACTTTGGTTAGCGCTTTAATGATCCTTCAGGTTAGTTGGATAATTTGTATCGATTTAACTATTGTATATTTGCTTTCGCTTTTGGTAATACTGTGATGGCAGAATGATTGATTGACTGACTGACTGTGCGACTTGCTTACGGAGTGAATTACACTATCTCCATGGTCATCGTCACCGTGGTCATAGTTTACCACGCTCATTACTGTTTTTGTGTTGGATTTCTTTTCTCATACATATCTACATACATAAATGCATTTTATTTCTTACAGTCGAGACAGATTAAAAGTTTCCAGCCCACAGGTAGCTCGAGTGCTATTCTCTCCAATTCTGGGAAAAGAGTGCCAGCGGTCGAGTTGAAAATCAAGAGCTTTGTTTATAAAATTTCTTAGGGGCAGAAGATCGGGTGTGATAAGAACGGATCTCATAAATATCGTGGAAGAGTTTTTGAATGCTACAAAGTGCAAATCTATGTCTGAAGTCAAACATCAAATTAGCTGTAGGTTCACAGCAGGAGAATTTTAATGGTAAAACAACAGCATTAGTATATAGAGGAATTACATGCCGGTACTTTCTTCTAAAGTGTTACGTTCTACTCAGGTTTTCATGGCAGTTCTTTCCCCAATGGACGTGATTAGAAGGGTTTATATTGAAAAATACAAAACTCATGGGGACACCAGCTCGGCTAATTTTGTAGACGTCCTCTTTGGTAAGTTTTTGTATCTGTAAACAAGAAAATAGCTTGTTCCAGGTGTTCAGTTAGAAAACCATGCGTGGAAGTAAAATTCCAAGCACGATGCTATCGACGGAGCGAATGACAGAACGTTTGGGTCGAGTCGAAAAAAACTGAACAAGGGATTGGTAGTAGGGAACACGACCTGGCTAAAACCTCCCGGCTGATTGCCACTCGACCCAAATCTCCCTCGAGTTTTCTACCCAAATCTCCTGTGGCGTTGCAGTTGTGCCTTCCGTTGTAGCTATGTCCTCACACCTAATAACCAACAGAGCGTGGTTTTATTTTTTCCAATCAAAGTGCGTTGTGATCGTGTTTTCTGGGAGTCACTTCCCAACTAGGGGAGAGAAGCGATGCAAAAGTGTGACAAGATCGTAAAGATTTCCTCGCTCGAAGTTTGACAATTTCAAAAGGTGTAAATTCTTTAAAATTGATCCTTAAAGTGGAATAAATCCTATGGACTTACCGTAGCCATCTTTACACCGATTTTCCATTTGATCAGTGGATTCTAGAAAAACGGGGTAAATTCTGTGAAATTCATCCTTTAAGTGGACTACATCCTACTGACTTGCCGACATCACGATCTTTACCCCGATTTTCGATTTGATCCTTGTGTGAATTTGTCATAAACGGGGTAAATTATGACAAATCCACCCACAAGTGCAATACACCCTTCAATGATTTAGAAACTGTACTTAAAAAAAGATGTGTTTAGGTGATGGGATCGGGAAAACGAGCATGGCTCAGGGGATAGTGTATATTCGTGAACGGCTACCGTACTGGCTTTCATGTGATGTACGTGCTCACAAGTTTCACGTGAGGAATTTGGTTTTCAAAGATCATTGTCTTTCAGATCACTGAGCTTGAAGCGCTCTGCGGAATAACAACAAAGCGCTCTAGATCTGTGACAGTATAAAATATGCGGCTAGCTGTAACAGCTGAAATCAGCGGAACCGCAATAAAATCACAATATACTAATTCAACTTTTTTTTAATAGAGGGCTCAGTGCGATACAGCAAAAACCCACAGTATTCCAAATAAATAACTGAAGGTCAAACTTCTGTGTTTGAAGGAAGACTTCGTGACGCAGACAAATAATCACAACTTTGACCTCTCAGTCGATCTCACCTCCGACAGATCAGGGTGAAGCGTCAAAAAAGATATAATTTTGCGTCGACGAATCATAATCTATGATCTTCAACGATTAAAGAAAAATAAATCAACTATGATATGAAACCACATTGAGCTTTTGTCTTAGCTTGTGGGTAAAATGTTGTCATCGCAGGAGTCGCAAGTCGAGCAATGAAGACTGTAAATAAAGCAAGACTGCAAATTAAGCGTGAGCAATAACGTATCCCTTGGTCGAAAATCGCTTTGTTATTTACGCGGCAAGTTGTTCTTCCACGTATAGGTTATAACAACGATGCGATCAGACGGCGTTAACGAAGAAACGTTAGAATTTCAAGGGAAGTAATGTGTGTGAGAGGCCAATGATCTGGTTCGCAATGACCATGCGGATGACAAGTTTTCCTGAAATCAGCAGGAGGTTGTTCATCCGTTGTTGCTGGAAAACACTGGTCAAATTTTCCGCTTATCCCGACCCATCCCGACCCCCTTGAATGTGTACTTTTGCTTAAAGATAAAACTACAACGGAGTCTCTTAACCAGTCCCAAGCTGCGTGTTGCTCGATAGATCACAAAATATGATTGGCCACTGTATCACATTACGTCAGAGGACATATCTACAATAAGGGGGCATAACTATTACGAACGACAGATGAGTAAATAGACTTGGTTGGATGGTAAATTTTTATGGTGATTTTTTTTTCTTTTTTTCAATTTTCTTTGCAGGCGGGATAGAAGCAGGACTTGTCTTGTCTGCGGTCATTTCTCTTTTGATGTTGCTTCACTTCATGAAATGCCATCGGTGAGTTTTCACCTTAATTTGGAAACGCTGAAGCTTTTCCTGAGTCAGTCATCGTGTTCTCAATTTTTTATTGAGGAAGACTTTTCGCTTTTACGGCTTCCTCCACATGTAGGTCGTTACAAATTAAGTGTCAGGGGAAAGGTGATGAAATTTTATATATATATATATTTTTTTTTCAATTTAATATCCTTACACGCATTTCTGCTTGATGGTCCTTTTCGTTTTTTCTTCGTTATTGTTTTTTATTATTTTTTTAATCTTTTTTATACTGTTTAAAAAATAAAGTATTCCGTGGCAATTATGCTCCCTTGCAAAATAGAGTTGTTGTTGTAAACGATTTCGAATCCAAGGCGCTCACGTCCAACGTTTAAATTTTTTTTTTCAGAGAACACGTGCTTCAGTTGTATCAAGGGCAAGCAATATATTCAAAGGACCTGCTCTTGACACCTGCAGCTTCAGTGGTACGTACTGTGGTTAAGTGACGGATAATAGGAAGTTTAAGAAACGACGACAGCGGTTGGTTAAAAAATGAACTTATATTTGACCTACGAATCTCGCGATACTCTAAAGTCATGTACTTTCTTCCTCGCTTTCAAAATATCTCGAAACTGAATATGGAACACAGCGTTAAATTAGAAATGGAAGTTTTAAAAGAAATAGCCGTCGCCGTTCACGCTCAACAGACAACGCAAAGTTGGGTCATTTCACGTTGTTGTTTTGCAGATTTACACAAAGAAATTTACAAAGATTTTTTTTACCCTCGTGCACAGCTGTTGTTCTGCTTATCTAACGTTTTGTTTCGTTTCGTTCCCGTTCCCGCTTTGATTTTCTTAAACTGCTTGGCTAGTCGTTGTAGTCAGGATGGATCCTGGAACAACAAATCCATTTTCTAGTCTTCTTGATGCTTTTCAAATAAACATCAAACCCTGTTCCTTACATTTTGCTGTTTCTCGAAGAAAAAAAAGGAAAAAAGAAGAAAATGAGCCCTGTCCCTAACAAGCGCCCTGTTTCGATTAAGCACCCTTCCTTGAAGTATCAAACGTAGGTGAGCGCCCGGGCGCTAAATCGAATCATTGCTGTATGACAATAATGATGATAATAGCACTAATATTTAAGATACTACTACTAATAATAATGACAATGATGATAATGATGATGATGATGATGATGACGACAATAGTTGTGTTGGGGAAAATGATAACCATAAAGATGATAAGGATAACACAAGAAAATGACAGAAATATAATGATGATGATGATAGGGAACGGAAGATTTTCAAGAACTCTAGACCCGGAAATATGTGTGACTCCTTGGTTGGACCGTAAGACTTCTGTTATAAAATTTGAGAGTGAAGATTTTGTTGTTGCCTTTTTTTTCTTTTTATCCCTGCTAGGGAAAGAGTCTCCGATATTCTGGATATCAGATAGCGTACACATTGCTTGGTATAAGAAAATGAATTTGATGTCACACAGTATCTTAAATGCTAATCTTCTGTTTGTCCCTTTCTTTGTTTGAATGATCGACATCAGTATCTGAGCAATTGCCACCTACCCCTCCCCTAAGCCAACAACAGTCAACTGATAATAAGTTAGGGTTAATGTTGGGTTAGTGGAGGGGTAGGAGCGCAATTTCTTAGATACTGACACTGGCCTTGTTTGAACATGATACAAATGTACTAAAGAAATACGCAATAATAGGGATTTGAAATTCTGAGGATAAAGTTTGCGTGGTCCTTTAAGCGGGCTATTTAACGTTTTTTTTCCTCGGTGACTTTCATTCTCTAGCAGAGTTGTCGCGTTTGAATGAATGTTTACCGTTGATTCATGAAACGACACCTTTATGTTGTCGCCAAAACTTAAATTTGAAGAGATTCAGATTGTTTATGATTTAACCATAGTTGAGAAGCAACGCGGTCTTTAAAGGGAAGTAATAGTATTTCATGAACCTGCAAATTTTAATTTATTGTTTATACTAGCAGGTGGGCTCGTAATTTCGCAATGCTCTTGGTACAAATGTGATCTCACCATGAAGCTCTTTGATGTTTTATCTTCGTTTCTTTTGTAGGTTTTGGCACTCTGACAATTTTTCTGTCAACTGTGGTTGCTGCTCTGGCAATCGTTTTCAAATCGAAAGAACTGCTCGCCCCAGAATTATGGAAACATTTGAAAGAAACTGGAATTGCTATTTTGTAAGTTTTACCGATGTATATGTTGTATCGATTTGAATCTTAAGAATGAGAGTTATATGATTGTATCACATTGTTGTCTTCTGGTTATTGTGATCGTTGTGGGCGTACTGCGTAAAAGGCGGGAAAATACGAATGATCAAATCACGATTTGTTCAAGTTTTGAATCTGATTGGTTGAGAAGGTGGCGTGAGCTTTCTGGACCAATCACACGGGGAAGTTAAACAAAATCACAGCAATCCTCGATTACCTTCGACACTCAATTGAAAAATACTCTACTACATGAAGAATGCAACTCTAAAGATTGTTTAAGCATCAAAACAAGATACAGTAACATATTTGCAGGATCAGGATTTCGTGGCTAAGCTGGTTTTATAATTATAATCATAATTTCATAATTATTGTGAGACTTGAAGGCTTTTCGAAAGACGCAATCTAGTACTCATGGGATGTTGTTTTTACAGACCCACTTTGGCCTTGGCTATTTTTCTGATGTTGTTCCAGTTGTTTCTGACACATTTCGTCTTCCGGTACTCGAATTATCCAAACATCACTGTCACAATTGATAATAGGTATTGTTGTATATCATTCTGAGCTGAATCTCTTGTTGTGTGATACGCACGCCCTGAACAACTGATCTACTCATTACAAACACGTGCAGGCATCTATGACTAGTACTAGGCCTGACAGAGTGCAGTCCGATTCGGTCCGTAATTCATCAAGTGATTGACAAAATTATAACAGTACGCATATAACGCGTATAGTCACATAGGCATGCTACGTTAAATGGCCAGTTACAAGCATAACGTGAACTGTACACTGTCCCTTTAGTGCACTAATCAAAACTATAGCAAAATTCGCGAACGTGATTAATTATCACCAGCCCGATTTGAGAACTAATAGGACGGTGTACGCGTCATGTGTGTAATTGGACAGTGTAAGAGGATAGTTAAAGAGACAGTTAACACGTCATGCCAGGGTAAGTGGACAGAACGCGTCGTGTGCTGTTGTCTCGCATTTTGCCGAGTTAACGGTTGCTTTTTTTTCTTTTTCTCTTTTTAATGAAAACGTACAACCACAACCGATCTCTAGTTTCTTTCTCAAATTTTGTTACGACTACTGACCGAATTGGACTCCGCTCGGTCCTATTTGGCTGCTGATGACCGATGGCGTAGCAAATTTTATCATTGTGTTGATTGGATATGTCATATGCTACTGTATGTTTAGTGGTCAACTCACGCCTTGCCGAGAGAACGTTCAATACAAAGCTGCGGTAGATTAATTGAACGTCGACACAACAACTCATCGACAGAAACGTCTCTGATGAGAAGATTTTTGCCATATATCTTTGTTATCATTGTATGTGTGTTTATTGTTGTTGTTGATGTTGTTGTAGTGGTAGTGGGTGTTGTTGTTTTCGTTGCTGTGATGGTTGTTGTTGTTGTTGTTGCTGTAGTTGTGGTCGTTGGTTTGTTGTGCGTTGCATCCAGGTTAATTAGTAATTCTCCTAGATTCACATCTTGCTTATGGGTCACGAAGCTTAAAATACTCAGCCCGTATCGTGTACACTTTATTTTTGGTCTCTTTCTCTCTCTTTCAGGCGGCTATTCTCCATCATGTCATACTTTTTCTTCTTCTACAACATAATTCTTGGACTTTTCTCTGGTTTTATGCGAATTCTAAAGGGCATGCTTTTAGGAGTGATTTTCATCTCTCGTATCGATCGAACATCACTGATGCAGGGTTTCCAGGCTTGGGACAAAGGTACGTAGCACGCACCCAGTACAAGCAATTTATAAGTGGCAGAGGCTATGTGAAGTGAGATATACAACATACAGACCTATGATGCTGCCATGTTGTCACTATTTCCTAAAACAACTTTTAACCAATGAATAATGTTTGTAAGACTTCTGGGACGAAAGGAAGGTCGAACAGAAATTCCTCAGTGATAAGATCCAAGAAATTGCCTAGAACGCAGCAAACGGTAGTGGTTTAGTAGCGATTTGTAATAGCTTTACGTCTGATTGTTCGAGAGAGTTGCACGAGATTTATAGAGTTGTCATTGTGCTAACGAAAGCATAACCTATGGGATCCTGGACAACCTTTGACTCTAACTTCAAATTTTGTTCATTTTCTTTTCAGCTTTTGTCGCATACCTTGGTTTTGTGACTGTGCTGGTTGCCCACAGCCATCCCGTGATGCTGGTGTTCTGTCAGTTGCTTATTGACAGAAAAAAAGATCACCAGCCCCCGCAAGACCGTAAGTAAATAGTCTCTAGAATCATGACTCGGCTGGGATGATTCTGATTGGCTCGATTGATAAACGGACAGATGAGCGTGCGCACAAATGGACGGACAAACGAATGGGCAACTGTGGCTTAGAGACAATTGGCATGTTTGTTTCCTTTATAAGATCAAAACACAGCGCTGTTTATGCACTGGCAACGGACACTCAGCAACCAATCAGAACATTAGAAATGATCTTTTCACAGAGGGCAAGAAACGCATAATATTCTTTTGTTAAGCGTCGTTATTAATGTGAAATCGTGGAAAATTTGGCAGAAAATGTACCCCATTCCCCAAGTCAGATAAGAAGATAAGATAATTTGATAAGAAATGGGTAATATTGAGAAGAAACTTACGATGCGAGCTATGTTCGGTTGGTTACTATTCATTTCATATCCATTCTGTGGTCACGCGGGAATATTGAAAGTTAGCCTTTCTTCTTTGCCACTTTGCACAGTTTTTTGAGGAACTAAAACGTATCTCGCTGACTGTTACTTTTCAAGCCGACCTTTAAAAAAACGATTGTATTCTGGGTGATATAGAACAGTTTTAAGGCTTTTCATGAGGAGAAAAAGAAACATCCCTACGTGTGTAATCTTTTTTTCAACTTGAGTCTGAAGTGCTTAAGTACTCCGTTCTTAACGTTAAAATAAGTTTTCAAGTACCGTGTTTTAAGGCATCTATTTTGTCGCCGGATCTCCGACAAAGCCTGTATATTGTAGGTTTGGCATTGAGGCAGGACGCTCTGAAGCTTTGTAATATTTGTTTTAAATGACATTTCGTTGCCATTCCAAAACAATAGTAAAGGAAGTAAAGACATTTTGTCTCCTTTCTTACTCAAAGTACGAAAGAAATTTCTCTCTTTTGGCCTATTTTCTCTATTGCTATGATTCCTTTGTTGTCATGAACTAATTTCTTGAAGGGTAATTAACTTGAAATACTCGACGAAGTCCCTCCAGATCTGGTCCAAACCTCTCAAACGCAGCTTATATTGCCATTCCTCTCTCTTTGTCTTTCAGGCTTTATGCGGGAGCCCCGTCGGCCGCGCATGTCTCAAAAGGCTGTCAACCGCTGGTTCCTGGCCGTGACTCTCCTACGCAACCCATCTTTTATCAAGTACCGCCGCCAAGGCCGCCATTTCACGGCATCTGTTGTGACTCTTGGAAGCGTCAACTTTGACGTTCCAGTGTAAAACTTTGAGACAAACTCAGAAGGAAGACCACCGTTCTTTCTTTATGGTTCACTTTTCCGGAGATCTGCTGTAGCTTGGGGTTAAAAGTTTCCCTCGTTTTTTACCACAGTATAATACAGTCTGTATCTTGGCGTTGTTGTTATTGTTGTTGTAGTTGCTTTTTTTTTTGTATTTTAAATTTTTTGAGTCAACATGTTACTCCTCTAATGAAAGCTACTCTAAATTCTGGGCTAAACTTTATTAAACACGTAGATTGTGGTAGAGAAGTGAGTAAAGAAGCACACAAAGTACTTATTGAAAAACAATTTAAAATTGTGGATTTTTATTGCTGGCTTCGGAAATGGGAATTACATTATCTGGCAAACATGGAGAGGCAGATGGTAACATTTGCAATTTAAGATGAAGTTTTGGGAAATCTACTTCTCTTTAAACGATAATGGATTCTAAATATTGATTAATTTTCTTTGGTACATTTGAATTTGATGAGTTTTTTTTAAAGATAATATATCGAGTATTGAAAAGTAATATATACAAAAAGAGCAAGCAGTTTACGTTAGGCTAAAAGCCAAGTATATAGGAAGGAAAAAAAAGAGAAAAATAATAAATAAATATTACAGTTTGCTTAGGCGTTTTAAGCGGAAGTTTTTGGTTTTTTATTTTTTTTTGTTTGTTTGGTTTTTTTGTTTGTTTTGTCGTTGTTGTTGTTTTTGTTGTTTTCCTTTAATTATTATGAAAGTAAGAAAAGTAAAAATTGGCGCACGATACCAAATAATGTTGTGAATTTATGAGGTCCGTGATTGGGGGAAAGACTTGGGAAGGAAGGTGTGGGTTTGGAACTGGGGAGCAAAGAACCAGTGGCAATAAAAAATACGTAATTGACAGACAGCTGTGAGCATTAGCCACACGAGTGCTTTAGCGAAGGCCGATTTCTTTCACACGTGCGAATATATTCATATACGACTAGCGAACTCCAACATCGTGAAGACCTCTGATCTTTCTCCGAAAAAAATTAGCGGAAGTGGAAAGTGAGGTGGGAGTGAAATATTGGATTGGTGGGACTACCGGCGAAACCGGATCTCATTCAATTTTGTTTGCTCGTTTTTATCCGCGCGGGGATCCCGGTCGAATTCCCACTGGCTCCCGGGTACAAATCTCCTCACCGGCATCCCGAGAGATACTGACAGGTGTCCCGTGGGAATCTGGACGGAAACTTGCAAAAATAGCGACGTACACTTCAGAGGGTAATGACATCAAGGAACTCGCCTTTTTAACTCGTGAATTGCGCGCATGCGCAAGAGCGAGTTATAGATATGATGTGGAGAATGGCACTCGCTCGCTCGCTCGATTGGTCGATTCCTGTAAACCTTTTTTCGATTTTAGGCTTTTGAGTACATTTGATAGTTTTTGGCGAGTAATAAACAAACGAAATGGTGACCTTTGTTGCTAAGAAGAGTGGTGGGGTGAAAAAGAAGCCGATGATAATCTTACAAGAGTTTATTATTTTCGTTTTAGTTTCAACAAGCGGCGTCAGCGACTGGCAGGCGTGCGATGATTCACACTGAAATAAGAAAACAACCTTCGTTTTTCATAAAATTGTAATTTACAGTCCTTGAACTTGAAAACGATCCGAAGATTCATTATAAATATCACTTACTCCGAAGCGCTCGGAGTTTACAGGTGTAAAAGCTTTTTCTGTAATGGTGTGAGATTGGGGACAAAATCGATCGTTACATTTCGTATCGTGTGTTTTTTCTGTGTGAAGCAACAAAAGGTGCCGTCGTTTTGTATTTCAACGTGTTTGGATTACGATCACCCAGAGCATTATGGCGCAAACGCTCAAAATACTTACAGACGCATACACAAGTCGCATTGTTCGCGGCCAATCGACACTAAAAGATGTTACTGAGCGGTAATTTTGGACCGGATTGAGTCGCGAACGCTTGAAAGCCATGAAAGCCTTGAATGCCTTGTATGCCTTGTATGTCAAGTATGCCAATGTACTAGTTGAAAAACGTACACTTGTTGTAAAAAATGCAAAATCTGAACTGAGCGGTAATTTTGGACCGGATTGAGTCGCGAACGCTTGAAAGCCATGAAAGCCTTGAATGCCTTGTATGCCTTGTATGTCAAGTATGCCAATGTATTAGTTGAAAAACGTACACTTGTTGTAAAAAATGCAAAATCTGAACTCTGAAACCAAACTGCATATACTCTATGCAATCTATTGAACAACACTGCTACCGTGAGACTGAAGAACAAACTCTAATGGTGCAAACTGCTTGTGAAGAAAGGCGCCATGTTGGATTCACTTGATGCCAGGGAACGTAGCTACGATAACAGTGCGAATGGTATTAATTTCACGATCAGAAAGGTGAATCTTACGTTTGTTTTCATTGTAGTTGTATTGATATTATTTTTTAATAAATACATGATCCAAAATCCTGTGTTTTTGTGTATAATGTTATTATGTTAAGTATTGTTTACGCAATTGTCTTGTCACAGGCGGCCCAAGCTCACGCCTCGAGAAGAAGCCAACGATTAATTCATGAACGCATCACGCGTAGTGTGACTCGGTTTTAAGTTACGAGAGGAACCATTGAAAATTTGAACACGTTATAAGGAATAGTATAGGCAACGTAATATGGTCGATTTACAACGATAAATATTTCGAAATATGAACATTTTTCTCGTAAAATCAATAAAACTTACTCATACCTTGTGTATCCCTTGTAGTTTCTGGCGATTTCTGCCGTTTTAAGCTTGCTTTACCATCACTGTTATTCACGTCATCTACTTTATTACGTTGGTAAAATCTGTACAGACATTACACCAACCAACTCGCGTGCAAAGTAAGAAGACTACTATCCCTTGTAGTTTCTGGCGATTTCTGCCGTTTTAAGCTTGCTTTACCATCACTGGTATTCACGTCATCTACTTTTATTACGTTGGTAAAATCTGTACAGACATCACATCAACCAACTCGCGCACAAAGTAAGAAGACTACATTGAAGGCTTGAAATTGTATTTCGATCGATTTTCATCAAAAAATGGGCCAGGAAGTTTCCACAATAGTGCAAATAATCGTGAAGGCTGATCGCGGAGAAGCGATTGCGTGACGCTCGGTAAGCTGTAAGATGACATGTTATTATATACCAGACGTAAAAACTCTTCAAATTCCCAGTCTGCATTTTGTACCACTCTGCAGTCTGCAGTCTATATTTTGTATCCGGTCTGCTGTCTGCATTTTGTACTAACAGGTATCCGTGGCACCAATACAGTTTATTTTTGGTTACATTTATTCGTACAACACACTTAATCTACCACAAAATACATGTGAGTGAGGTAATTTGACATTTTGGTTTATTTTTCGCGTTAATACTCTTCTTTCCTTTTGTAAGAATGTAGACAACTTACAATGTTTCAAGTAATCCACCCACCCTACAAAAAAATAACTCTTGCATGCATAGCATGCCTATGTTTTGAAATAGGTGTATGCCCTTGGCCAGACTTGAGCTCACTATTTCAGTATACTAGTCCGACACCCGTAGTATCACTACACTTGATTCCAAGGATCCAGAACCATCCAGGTTACCCTGCTCACAGGGTCTAGTTTCAATTGTAATGCCTTCTTATCCCAACGTTACTTTGTTTCTTTGCTACATCAGCGAACACTGAACTACTATGGGTAGGTCTTCCAGTGATCATGGAGGCAATTTCACTTGGCATCGCTGCTGGAAAAGAAGGGTTACAAAGCTATACGAGTGATAAATAGTAAGAAAAAAAATTCAAAGGTTTCTTCTTGCTCTTCTCCTTTTTATTCGTTGCATTTAATACTTTGTTTTTTTTTGTATACATTTTGGGACAAGTATCATTTCCTTTGCTTTCACTTCTTCGAGTTTAGTTGCTGGCTTTCCTCGACTAACAACCTGATCTGGATATTCGTCACCTTTGTGGCTTTCACATAAGTTGTGAGTTTATGATTAGTGTTGCTGAATGTGATTGGTATACCTGGACTTAATGCTGCCACAGACTTTTTTCTCTGCTCTTTAAAAAAACAAATTAAGTATTTATGATATGACCCCCCACAATATTTACCACTTCCCTTTTCCTACTTACTCGCAAAAAAAAAGTGGACGTTGTTGCTGTTTGCAGGGTTGCTAGTCAATTTTAACATAATGATCGCCTTCAATTGCGAGAAAAACCTCTCGAGACAATGTCTTCACAGGCGTAAGATAGCTTCATAAATTCTCCAACTTTTACTACATGGTATGAAAAAAAGAAATTCTTCCCTCTCCTTGTTAATGTTTTCTCACTGTTTCACATTGATATGCCAAGATATGTTTTTCGCCCAAAAATAATTCATAAAAAAAACCCTTGAAAAAGATGAATGGAGCAGGAAAAGTAGGAGATGTTGAGTTTATAAAATTTAAAATGAGACTTCACTTGGCGTGGTTCAGTCAGTTTAGACAATTTTGTTCGCGATTTCTTTGGTTCATTGTCAGTGTATCGAACCTCATAATCTCCTGGTTAAGAGTTGTTTTCCCTGTAAATGACTCCTCATCCCACCCTTGTTGCCAAACTAGTAACGTCTTTGGCGAGGATCCTCTCCTGCTTTGGCTATTCAACAACCATATCTAAATAATTAATTTATTTCTATTGTATTCTTCAGCTCAACATCATGATACTCGTACGAGTCATAGAGAAGATGACCAATTTGTTGCAGCCAACAGCGGAAGACAAGCATTCTCAGCGGTAACATTCACAACATAAAACTAAAACGAAATAGTGGAAAAGATTGCCATGTCCTCCTGTAAAGCAATATTCGCCTAGCCTACTCATTCCTTAATCAGTGAGGCATTGCGATATCTAATAATGAAAATTCATTGTCAAAGGAAATTAATTTAATGCTTTGTTTTGTTTTTTTTGTTTCTTAACTCCTAGACTTGGCATCAAAGCATGCGTAGTAATAATTCCCCAGCTGGGTGTCACGTGGCTATTTGGTCTCTTTTCGCCTAAACACAAAGCTTTTGCTTACCTCTTAACCATACTCAACGCTACTCAGGTCAGTGTTCGATAGTAACTCTCAAAAATCATTCAATCTCGATTATATATTTTGTTTTCTAACTACGTAGGACACTATTACATTGGTTAGATGGTATTTTTTGAAACAGTAAAACCAAAAAGCTGTTAACTATGCAAGAGAAGACAGATTTCTTCTTTATTTCTAGGATATGCAATTCCCCTCCTTCTTAAATTTCTTTTCATACTAACAGAAATCTTACTAGATATATGACCAATTTATTTGAATATTGTGAAAGTAATGATCTTAAAATCATGTTTATGCTGCAGGGTTTCCTGATTTTCGCTCAACACTACACGCGAAACAATCAGGTAAGAGAAGACATCAAAATGACTATACACTAACTTCATATCATCAAATTTTTGGGTTTAAATCAATATCGGTGGAATGCTAAGAACCATATTTCATGTTGCCCGTCTATCTGCAGATCAGAGAGGGATTCAAAAGAAAGATGAACATCGTTTTTCCATCTTCTATATAGGACAACTCCAGAGGGGAGAGCTCACAGGTCAATCCAAGTAAGGTTGGGGATGTATGGGCAGCTGAATTGCAGTCT